GTTTAAAAACTGGTGGCAAACCATTGACCACTGTATTTGTTTCAAAGACGGCAGCAGTGGGGGAGGAGAGTTATATCTGGAAAACTCCCACATGCAAACTCCCAAGGTTATTTCCTGAAATAAAACAAATAGTTTCACAAGTGATGAAATGAACTTCACATGGTTTCCAGCAACTTTCTCCCGAACTGTAACAGAGGATGAGCTCATCAGGTTATGCTCCATGGGATTTAAGAGGGTATACTTCTTGTCATAAAGCATGTCAGAATGTCGTATCTTTTCAGTTTCTACCACTGTGTCAAAGTTTATTGATGTTGGCCAACTTCTACAAGTACATGTACAAGGAGAAGAAAGACAGAAGCAAACTTATGCACAGAAAAACGCCTTTACAAGTGAGGCTAAAACTTCAGAAACCTTAGAAAAGTGGGACTAAATGTTCCATATTATTGGTTAGGCCTTTAGACAAGGTCATTGTCTGAATTCTCCTTTCTGAAGCAATTGGCACTTACAGACTCTCTTTGCTCAATGGATATCCAAGAACAGATGGCAGATCAGCTATTAGCAAGCAGTAATTGCATTTTGGTTTTATTTTGATTTTAAGTGAAGGAATTCATTGTCTGTTGAGCGATGATAATAAAAGCAGACTTCTTTCTGTATCACGTATGTCAGGACTGGGAGCAGGTTCAACAATAGCATGTAGATACATAGTGAAAGCTTACTAGGAAATGCAGAAATCCAGAGCAACCACAGAGCATGACATTAGGAGAGCATGCCCTAGCTGGGAAGGATAATCACTGGATGTGCTAGGAACTTGTGCTGGGGACAGTTTTCAGACAAGCCCTGTTTTCAGAGTATTGGGCTGGACTTCCCCCTGTGTATCACACTCAGCTATCTCCATGCAGGTGGAGGGAGGCAAACACATCTGAAAATGCATCTTCTATAAGCTATGAGAGTTCCTCTAACCTGGAAGGCTGTAGTATAGACCAGTAAGTTTAAAATTATTAGCTGGGCAAGAATTAAGGGAATAAAAGATAGGTTCATCCAGAAAACTAAAATACAGACAAAGTTGCTTTGCAGTCAGTTCAGCCTCTGCAGGGAATTGCTTTACTGCAAAGAATGTCTCCCAGCTTCCATTTCACTCATCTTATGAAATAGGCTCCCTCCCCCATGTGTAAGGATGTCTTTCTAGCTCCTGCCATCCAGAATATCCTCCTTGTGTGTATTGCTTAAACGGCCTCTGTTTTTTGCCTTATGACTTAACACTTTCCTTTATTCATTGTGAAATTATTTTATATGCTTTTTAGTAAATGTGACAGGTAGTGTATTAACCACTGTCATCTTTTATTTAGTACCATAAAGCATTAAGGAATACAGTTACTACATGGCATTCAGGACACTATAATACTGCATTGTATTGCGTTACAGCTTGGGACAGTTCTGTGCCTTGAAAGAAAGAGGTACTCTCTTTTCCTTTGCCTATATCTTTTTCCATTTTTTTTTTTTCTTTTTCCTGACATTCCCCATGTCCAGTACCTGATTTCCATGAGTTGCCCCAGTGTATCTGATGAAGACAATGTTTGTGATGCTTGTCTGCTTGGAATGGTCTTGTTATTTTAGTCTCATGTCTTAGCTCCTACAAGAAATACAGGAGTTGTTTACATCTCCTCAAGCTGTTTCCCAGATTCTTGACAATTTGTGAGGGGCCAACTTCCAGAGACAAAATTTGGGTTGACCATGTTCCCATGTCTATTTAAACCAGTTAATTCTACAAAACTGCACTGAAAATCCTATTAGAAAACTGTAGATTCATTCCTGGCTGTACTACTTCAGACAGTAAATTAGCACATGCTGACAGAGGTAAGAGGGAATCAAACTGTTTGAAAGCTCTTGAAGAATCTACTCCCGTGTCAAGTGAAGGCTTTGCATTTCATCCCTTGTGAAGGATAGAAACAGCATTTGTGTCCGTTATTGTCAAACAGATTTTCTTTCTGTGTGGAAAAGCCATACCTTCATCCTGTTATATTTTTATTGAGAATTCTCCTCCCATTCTTCCCTCTAGCCTTTCCTTATAATGAGTTACTCTATAATTACTGTATTTGTTATGATAGAGATAAGTCACTGTGCTTTGATTTTATAAGCTTTTCAATGTGCTGGTTTATTTCTCAATTTACCTATTTAACTTTGATAATGCAGAGCTGTGCCAGACATTGCTCTGATCTAGTCAGCAGGGGCAGAGCACCCCAATCTGTTGGATTCAGAGTTTTAGTTAAATTAAAACCTGACAGAGCATGTCTCCTTGAGGAACAAGAACATTGGTAACATGCTTTCATTACTGGTGTGCTGAGTAACATGAACAGATTTTTTTTGGGGGGGTACATAGACAAGCCCATATCTGTGCTCATATCTGGCTGGGAAGGGGAACTTTTCTGTGAGAAAGATGAACCACATTGAATCCCTCAATTAAATGTGTGGTTATAGTGGGAAAATTGCAAGAATTTGCTGCCCAGGGAATAAATAAATAAATAAATTACTCTCAGGTATAGGAGGAATTTGCCATGTTTTAATACAGCAACCTTTGTTCTGACTTAGGGAATGGTTGCTTCATTCAAAAGTGCAGGATTTGCTTTCATCAAAACTGTTTTATTTTTGTCCATTTTTCTGGACATTTTGGACTCTGTGAATATCCTCTGTCCTCTTGGGTGGGTGTACCGGGTGTTCTCAGAGTCCAAAGTTGCTCAGCATTTCTGAAGGAACTCAGTAGGGTTGGCTGGACATTTTGTTTCATTCCAGATTAGAGGAGAAAAAAAAGAAAAGATTAGGAAAAAAAAAAAAATAGTTTGTTGTTTGTTGGTTGGTTTCTTTTTTTGGTGTTGTTGTTGTTACAGAAAAAAAATATATATAGAAAACAGCCTTGTTTATAGATGCTCCTGATGGAAATTACAACAAAACTGACTTGTGGGTGGTCTTTATTTTCACTGAATTTTCGGTCAGTTTCCCAGTGCAAAATCACTTGGTCAAAACAGAACAAAACAAACAAAACTTTGTGAACTATCTAGTCAAGTCTGTATTTGCTTAGAAAGGATGGCTCAGGGTGTGAAAACATTTCATCTTGAATGAAAGCATCTTAAAAAGATGTCACAAATAGATCTTTGGAGATTTTTACAAGAAACACAGACTTTTAAGTTTCAGGTTGTTTGGATGCAAGAATTATTACCTTGTCAGAAGGGTACAATGAACCGTTGACACACATCCACACTGCTTACAGCTTTTTGGAAGGTGGTATTTACAGCCAGAAACCAGTGAAAAGCCACCTGAAAAGTAAATTCACTTACCATGAAGTTTGCAACATTTCTCTGTGTTTCTATTTTCCATAAGTATTTAGCTAACAAACAAAATTTATTTGCTTAGTTTTTTGTTTGTTTGTTTGTTTGTTTTTTTGTTGGGGGGAAAGGAGGCATATTCGGTGTATTATTGAGTCTTGGTCCTGAAATTAAGTAGAGTGGTTTGGGAGGGAGAATTCCTCAATAGCCAAAGCCAGGAGAAGGCACTGGTTTTACATTTAGGCTGCCTGCAGTGGAGGTTGACCAAACTTTCAGCAGAGAACTGGGGCTGATGTTCAATTTAAGATCTGGACACCAAAGCTCAGATGTTTACATGAAAGCTAGTGCCCATGTTCCCATTAGTTAACATTTGTTCAATGCAGTTGGGTAACTGAGTGAAGACCTGTCAGAGTATAGGTCCCTCTGGCTATGCTGAGGAGGAGTTCAGCTTGCTGACACACAGGTGGCTCTGTGAGACAGCACAGCTTCCACAGGACTCTGTCTGAGGCTGATAGATGTGTTGCTGGACCTCTCCATCCTCATGGAGACCACAAAGGAAATCATATGGTATTGTAAACGGTGTTAGAAATCTGTAAGTAATTGAGCTGGGCTCAGTTACTCAAGATCTCCATGCATCATATGGGGAGTGTAGATAGCCATTTCACATGTGGAGGCTCAGATTCAAATATCTTGACTGGAAACTGCATGTTGCGCTGAAGCCACCTGATCTTTGAAATTTCACCACACTAAAATTTTCAATGCACAAAAATCTAGTTGTTTGCCATCTGTCGGTGCTGGGAGTCAAATCCCACTATTGGTAACAGCTGGACAATGCAAGTACATGGCGCAATTGAGAGGATCCTTTGACTTTTAGAGATCTGTGTCTTGACACGGTTTCCATTATCCTTGGAGTAAGGGATTTACAGCAGCTGAAGTTTTACCTCAGTATAAGCAAACTTTAGGAACAATTGAGTATTTGCTCAGGCAAAGTTGTGAAATTTTAATTAAGTAAGAGCGTGGTTGTTTGTCTTGAAGTTACTCAATATGGTGGTGGACGAGCCAGCTTCTGATTTCTGTTTTGTCATTGTAAGTGTGGAGTACCTACTTGTGTTAATGATCCTTTGACACCAGAAGAATCACGCCATAAGAAGACTGTCAGGATGTGACCTAACACATGCTTCTGAGAGGAAATACTTAAGCACAATAAACAAACTTTCAGTCACTCTTTCCTTGTTATTGCTGCTTTGCTTAGAGGGCATCTCTCCCCAGAACACCAAATTTGGGGAACAAGGATGTTTGCCTTTTCACTTTGCTCTGTCTTACTTGATTGTTCTCATGTTTACAACTTTTATTAAAGTTCAAATTCTGTTTTAAAACTGAAATGGTGAGAAGGGAGTTATATAATCAATATTGATGTAAAAGTAATGATATATTTATCATAAAATAAAGACTGTATACAATTGAGTATTGTTGTTCTTATTGTTTAATGGGGGTTGAATTAAGAGAATGTACATTGTGCTTCCTATTTAATAATGAATGCTCCTAGTTCCAACTTTAAAAAGTCTTAAGAAGTCACAGACTTTAAATGCAAATAATTTGTTCTGTTTTATAAATTGTTGTATTTTTTTGCCTTCCTGTAACTGGAACAACATACTAATTTCTACAAGTTGTGACTACTAACAGAGAGCAATCACCTCACAGACTTGTACCGAAAAGAAGAGACCATCAGCGTGGCAGGGAACGGCTGCATTCACAGTCCTCGCTTCCCGAGCAGTTACCCCAGGAACCTCCTGCTGACATGGCGGCTCCACTCCCCAGAGAGCACCAGGATCCAGCTCACCTTCGATAATCAGTTTGGACTGGAAGAGCCTGAAAATGAAATCTGCAGGTGAGTGGCAAACCGTGCTGTGTGGAAGTTTGCAAAGAGTTCCTTAGTATGACATAGCATAATGGTGTGGACATTGTCATGACACCACAAACCGAAACCTGAGTAACCCTGGCCCTGCTTCAAGCCCCAAGCCTCCAGGAGTTCCTTCCAACCTGCCTTGGTCTTTGAGTTTATCACAAACTGAGCTGCCCTAGACTTGAAGCAGTTTTGGCAGGCTTTAGTCCTTCTGTAACATTCCAGGTACAATGCACTTGTACACTCAAATCCAGCTACCTAACAGCTCAGAAAGTACTTTAATAGGATTTTGTCCTCTATCAGCTCTGTCATGTTTCAGCCAGACAAACACATCTTTTTCAGTAGGTGTAAGGCACTGGGAGGAATTCATGAGTAGGTATGCGTATGTATTGGGATGTGAGGGACAGATAAAAATGCCTTGAAATGTATAATGAAGTTCTTCAAATTATTTGTTTATCTTTAATGCTATTCTTCACTGGCACAGTTTCTTTTAAATCCTTTACATGTAGGCCCACAAACATCAGTATACTCTGCACAGTAATATATCTAATAGAGTATACTCTACTGTATTGCAGTTCCTTTGTTTCTTTCTTTTAAGCCAAAATGACCATAAGCCCAGTTGATCTGGCTGATTAACCCAGGTGGATAAACTGCTTTGCAATAGCAGAGCACAAAGCTGAATCTCTCCAGCATTCACTAAAATGCTATAAATAACAATTTTTTGGTTTGTTTATATTTCCTTTGTTCAACTATGTGGTCTGTGAGGGATAGCAGGCTCAAGTTTTCTGTGTGCTCGGAAAGCCAGATTGCTGTGATGCTGTCTACTTCAAAAGCTCAAGTCTCAGCTTCCAGCTCTTTGCCTGATCATGCCGTTACTTGTGCCGTATCTATGTAGAGAACTCAGCTGTAAGGATTTCTGCACACCCAGCCCCTGCTTATCTTATCTTCTTTGTCAATTAATTTGCATTTATAGGACTTGGTAGCTCTGCAGGGTTTTACAGGGTGGATCTTTTTTGTGTTTTTGCTTTGTCGATTTTCTGCGTTACCAATAGAGAGAACCATTTCTGCAGGTTTGTTTTCCATTTAGCAATAAAGGAATACAGACTGAAGCTGGCTTTCCTCCCCTGCGTATTTATTGTCTTGGCAGCTTCTGCTCTGCTCGGGTGCTGTTGGTCTAAGATCAGCAGCACAGTAATAAGTTACCTCCTAGCACCTCGAACACTTTTGCAGATTGAAAGCCTAATGCATACAGAAGCGGCCTGTTAATATTTACATAGCGGATAAACTGTGGCTGACCTTAAATCATTGCAACTTTGAAACAGGGAGCTAATTTGCCATGGAAAAAGATGAAATATTTTCTTTTAAGAGTCATTAAAGGTGGTGGCATGATGAGGGGAAGTCAAGGCATTATTGGAACTCTGGACTTTGACCATCTTGGAAGACATGTGGCCTGCTTTGCCCAGAGAAGCTAATTTAGGATTCAGAGAGAAGCAAAGACCTTCCATAATCCATATGTCTATAGAAGCTGGAAAAATATCACATTCTTTTCAGAAATAGAGCTTTCCCTGGAGTTACTGCAGTTTTATTTGCCTAGTATACTTCCAGAGCGAGGAATTTCTCAGAGAGACAGCTTGTAATGGCTTTAAGCCTGTTCGTTTCTTTATGCATAGCTAGATTTTTTGTTAATGCCTGATATATTTTTCAAAACTAGTTTTTTTCTTCAACTTTAGTCCCTTACAATCCCTCCAGTGCTGCTTTAGACAGACAGCTAGGCACGTTTTTAATTGAAATGAATGCTGTGAGTAGAGCATGTGTTTGAATGCTGTGTGTATTGAACAAGTTATTCAGGGTCTCTGCACCTTAGATTCCTTTTGTACTTGCTTTTGACTTTATGATTTTTTCCAGAAAGTTCCTAGTGTTTTCTTTCAATTTTTCATTAATGCTAATTATTGTAATTTGCATACTATTAAGGCTGAACTGATTGAAATTCATTCAGGCTGAGGAATGAAAAGGTACATTTTAGCAGAGCTGTTTCAGAGGGGGAAATATTTCAGGTTTTGCAGATCTTTCTAGAAGTGTTGTTAGCATTTCCACAGGTAATTGATAAAGGGTGATTCTGACAAGCAATTAAGTTATGCAGCCTCTGAGGCTCTGTGGATGCACATATAGAACAGAAATTGCAGCTACTTCCATGTTTTTTGCAGCTAAATCTTTGGTGTTGAAAGCAGAGAAACGTACTTAGAAGGGCTTTGCCCCATTTTTGCTAACAGTTGCTCTGGCTCCTGGTCTTAGGAAGTGGAAGCCAGTCAGGGCAATTTTCACAAAAGCCTACAAGGTTTTGTTCAATCTCCTACTGAAAACGACACAACATCTTGTGTTAGGAAATGTATTTACTGGATTCTGCTGGAGGAGCCAATCTGTTTGGCACAGGGCCTCAGGGAAGGTGGCAGGGCAAGAGGCTGGGCCTGCAGGGCACTGGGGCAGGAGTTAACACCACGAGCTTTGGGCAACCTACGTGTCCTTGAGCTGACACCACTTCAAAGCATGGCCCCATCTGTACCTGCCAGCTCAGCAAAGGGGATGATGCACTGCCCAGGGCAGTGGAGGACATTTGCATGGGCAGTGGGGGAGTTCTGCGGTACCACATCCATCCCCACCAGAAAACAGGCCTTGCCGGAGGATGGTGGAGAGTGCCCAAGACAAATTTACCTCAGTCCTGAACTAAACTTTCTAGTGTCACAAAAAAATGTTTGCTTCAGCAGGGTTTGGGCAGATGTAGTGATTCAGTTATGGTGAATCTGTTATTTTCTGTCCTGTGTAATTTGGGGGTTGTGAATGTAAAAGCAGCAGGGCTGATATTCTCAAGCTGCATCATGCTTGGATTTATTTTTTTTTTTTTTTTTACACGGGCTCTCAGCAGAAAAAGGAAAGCAGGTCTGTTATTTACAGACCTATTCAACTCCCACAAGTGGGGAGAGAGGCAGGCACTTGGTCCACAGACCCGGGGGATGGGGAGCTCTTTGATACCACATTTTTACTAAAAGTCATTTAACGATATTAAACTCCCTCTTTGGAAGGATCACGTGCTTTGGCAATAAAAGCCTTTCCTGAGTGAAGACCTCCAAGGTTTTCAGGCTTAGCTGTGCTGTGGGGATGGCAGCTTTCCCTGTCTCCCCTTGCCTGCACTCAGACTGCCCACCTTGTCATCACCTCTCCCTTGCTGACTGCAATGTGTGGGGCCTAATTCTGGCTCCATGGATATCGAGGGACTGTTTTCCTCAAAGATGCAGTGAAATCAGGACTCTGGTCTCTTTCTTCTTTTTCTCCAGCTCAATAAATGAGCTCAATAAATGACCCAAGCACATGAACAAGGAGGCCATGGTAGCAAACACCATCACCTTATCCTCCCATCCCTGGGGTTTGGTGTTTCCTGCTCCTGGCAGAGCCATGTTTGGACTGAGGAGCACCAGGGCTGTACATGGCCAGGGTGTAATGTAGCAGGAGCATATTCCACCTACAAGGAAGGTCCTAAAAATCACCTTTCAGCAGCATGTACTACCCCATGTGCCCCCAGCATCTTCCTTTTCTCCTGGCTCCTGCCCCAGCACAGCAGACAGGAGCCAGTGGCCGCTGCTGCAGGGAGTTCAGGGACCACCACCAAGCTCACAAATGCTTGCAGCTGCTCAGCTCAGGCAGCCTGCCTTAAATAATATTTTATCAGATCTCTAAATTATTTATCCACCACGTGAAGCACAATGCGTGTGTTTACTGTGTACCAAGCAGGTCTAAATGCCTGACATTGCTATTTCGACATTGTATAGAATACTGTCTGCCATGTTCCAGGAGTACCAGAAATAGCCATTTGAGCAGCCAGGCAGTAGCTTGCAGCTTGCAGCTTAGTATGTTTCGTGTTATGCAGGCATGTACACCATTTGTAATATTTAGCCCAATGTTTTGCAGTAGAGAATGGGGGCCAGTTGTCTGTGCTTCTCCAGCTCCAGCTCCTGTCTATTTACAGCCACTTTCTGTAACCAGAGCCAGCAAAAATTAATCCTTCAAACTGGTTCCTAGGTATGACTTTGTGGAAGTGGAAGATTTGTCAGAGACCAGCACTGTTATACGAGGACGGTGGTGTGGGCACAAGGAAGTACCTCCAAGAATAACATCAAGAACAAATCAGATAAAGATAACCTTCAAATCCGATGACTACTTTGTGGCTAAACCTGGATTCAAGATTTGTTACTCCCTTGTGGTAAGTCATCTCACTATATAATGGATGGAAGACAGATTGTAGTGTAAAAGAGCATCAGTACTTGAAGACCGGGTAGTGCAGCTAACTGTATTAGATCAAAAGACTAATTGACTAGAAGAATTTTCATTCCAGCAACTACATTAATACATCTCAAAGTAGTTTTGACATTCTGTCATTAAATATAAAATAAAGTCAAGTCCAGGCCAAGATTTACACTAATAACATGTTTCAGAAGCACTAACACTTTCTGCACTGAGGCTGCACTGCCAGTGCCTTGACAGATGCTGCAGAAATAGCAAAGAAATGGCTGCTCCTTTTTTAATGTTCATTTGAGGGCAAATAAAAATACCTTCAGGGGTTATTGCTGCGATTCTGAGTTAGATGCAGATCAGTTTATTCTACATGCAATAAAATTCCACATGCAAGACACAGTGTGTTAATGCTCAGGCTGTATTTTTAACCATGTATAAACATATGAACACATCAGTTTGTATATGCAGTAGCATTACCAGTGTATCATGTACAGTTTCAATGAGATGAAAACATTTAAAAATAAATAAATTTGTATTTAGAGAACAGGAATGCTTATTATTTAAGTAGGTTTTGATACAAATATGTATTCCTTGTATTATCCTGATTAATATTATAATGCTTTTGGTGCAGTGTAGCTCGAAAGAGGCAGATTTTGCAAACACTCAGGAAATGGTAAGCAGTAATTTATTATACTGTCATCATTATATTTTCATATCCATCGCAATTCTTATTCCCTTTTGTTAGTCCACTGTTACTTAACAAGAGTGAGAAAGCTTGAAATAGCAGTAACGTTAATGCTGTAACAGGACTCACTGTTTTAAGTCATTTCACTTCAACCTCTTGGCTTTGCATGCATGTATGCCTATGTATGCTAAAAAGAATCCATAAACAGCGCATTGTCAAGACAAGTATAAAACCATAAAGATTGTGCTTCTTTGCATTTAAATTGGTAGGCTTCAAGTGGAGTAAAGCATTGCACTGTGAGTAAATCCTGAGCTCTAATTTACTCTAATTTGAAGATAATCTTCAAAGACTAAAATGTAGGCGGAACATTGTATAAAAGACCACTGGGCATAAAAAAGACATTGAAGCAGCCTCTCTTTAGCCTGCTTGTATTTCAGTGCAGCTACAAAAAACTGATGCTTTAGCAACCTTGATTCCAGACCACGTACTGATAGCATTAGACTTTCCAACAATGAATGTTATCACTCAAAACACACGACTCTCTGCACTAGAAAGCTCAGAAAAGCTACTCTATTTATCTAATTTCAACACTATAAGTAAACAGTGAATTTTATACTCTAGCAAATCGATTCACAAGAATACTCTCTAATACACCCTCTGAACGAAATACTTTTTAATTTTTTTTTTTTTTTTCTCAGAGAGAGCTGTGCTGGTGATTAGCAGCGTTCTTACATCTCAGTGAGATAGGGGATGATACATACCTAGATAGTTTTCAGATTACAAATGGTCCAACCTAAAACTGTGTGATTAATATTCAGCATATTCAGCCCTTATCCAACAGTCCCCGCAGCCTTTCTGAGCTTGGTTCACAGAGATATGCTGAGCACTGCTGACCCCTGAAGGTTGAACTCATTGTGCTTTTGTAGGTGGCAAAGCAGGGAGCATTAACGAAGCATGCAAAACCATATGGTATTTTGTATCAGACAAAATGAAAGACCTTTACACTGTTTTTTTTTCTTTCCCTTGTAACCTTCTGCATGATAAGGCTACTTCTGGGGGCTTACCTGGAAAACTGTATGCAAGATATGTGCAAGCGTTTAACTCCCTTGTTTTTTTCTTATGTGTGGAGTTGGTATCTGCATGGCAGTTATTTATTTGTACACCTGAATGAGGTTGTTAATTTAAAAAAAAAAAAAAATGAAGCAAGCAATTTGGAGTGTTCGCTTGAGTTTATTGATCAGCTGCATCTTCGGAGCTTGATGCCAGAATGACTGGACGAATTTCTCCCTGCTATCCATGCAGCCAAACAACATTGCAACATTGCTCTCTGGTCTTCTTGATTATGAATCTTCAAGGAAGTCAGTTAAGTTCACTTCATTTGATGCAGATCAAGTTTTTACTTAGTTCAGCACTCCGCATGAGGCACAAATGATGCACCACTGAGCTTAGCAGAGACATACTTCATTATCTTTGTGTACTTGTGTTTTTGCATTAACTTCACATTTCAGTGCAATTTAGAGAAACAAAAAGGGATTTTTTATTATTTTTTTCTTATAATTCATAAATTACACTTGTATCCATAAAAATCACATTTGCCTTTGTAAAACTAGGCATGCAACGTAAGCAACCTACATAAGATGAAGAGGCTCAGGGTGGTGGGATTAGAATTCAAAGTGGCTCTGGAAGAAAAGACTGAAGAATTGCAAGGGTGATCTTAAACAGGACAGTTTTGAAAGCCATATGGATATATGAGAGTAATTAACTGCCTTAATATAAAATAAGGGACAATGGGCAAGGGAGCAGTAATGTGATGGAAAAACAAAACAAAAACAACGACAAAAAATCTGAGCATCTAAACACAGCATTTAGCAGTTTTTGCTTGTCAAGGCTGGATCCCTTCACATTTTCCACTTACTCTACCTCCCTCCACATCCTCTGCCCATCTCTGACTCTGCTGTCTCCTCTCTGGGTCTGAGGGACTAGGAAGGCTGAAGGGGGAACAGCAAGGGTGGTTTTGGAGGGAAGTGGTGAGATCCATGTCGCCACTCGATCCATGCACATTCGATCCATGTGCTGTTGGTGTTACTAGTCCTTGATACACTTTTTCCCAAGTCATACAACTCCCTGGAGGTGGGAGCTCCAGGGTGGCGCTGACTCCAGGAGCTTATTTTGTGAGCTCCACCCACCCCAAGTTGAGTCAGAAGTGTACTGTCACAGCTAGAAGAAGACAGTCGTACTCTGTGGTGGTCTGTGATGGTGCAGAAGAAGGTAAGTATGCACAGCTGGCAGCTCGTGTCTTGGCATATTTCACAACCAAAGCCTCTAGTTGTAGCTGTGCACTTTGTTGATATAACCTGAGTATTCACATGGAGAAATGTCTCCCTTGAACATCTTTAAAAATTTTCTTTTCCTTCAGGCTTCACAGACCTAAAGCAAAAGAGGTTTGGACCAAGCCCAGGATGGCTATTAGGCAGGAACCTCACTTAGTTGAAAATTTGTTTGAAATTATTCCCTGACACTATCACTTAAAGTGCTTTTTTCTCAAACAATTTTTTTTTGTTTTTCTTCGTTGTGTTGCCTTAGAAATATTAGTTTACAGCATACAAGGCACTGTGGTATTCCAATCTTTTTTTTTTTTTTTTTTTTTTCCTCAAACTTGATGTAATTTCTTACTCCAAGGGTATAGTATTTCACAACAGATGCTCTTTGTGAAATAGAGGAAGACAAGTTACCTTTGGTTACTTACACAGCTTCTAACAGGTAGGTAGGCAATGTCAGGAGACAGGGCCCTGGGTTGCACACCTTAAATGAGGTGATGAGAATTTTTCATATCTTCACAAATGTAAAATTTCATTCCACCATTGGTTTCAGAGCAGTTACCTCAACTGGGGAATCTTGCTTCTAGCAAGTCGGTATTCAGTAATTACTAAGAATACAACATCAATTATTTTGAGATGTAGGAATGTAAAATAAATTATGTTATTACACATGGAAATAATCTTTGCTTGTTTGAAATCATTTTATACAATCTCCCTTTTCCTTCTGAAGTGAAATTCTTCTGATGTCCTCTTTCTGAAAGGGAATGTTAACAAGATCAGACCCTGCGTTTTACAAGTACATTAGCAGGGACATTTACTAGAATAATCTAGGAACTCATTCAGCAACACGTTTGAAGAGTAAAGGTGAATGTTTTGAATTAAAATTCCCAACTCTGCATCTAATTTCATTTTAATTAGACAACTGGAAAATGTTGGATTCCATTTGCTAATTAGAACCATTATTTTAAGTTTATTGTAAGAGGCATATATTTGTTCAACATTTATAACAGTAAATTGCTGTTGCCTTACTAATCCTTTCATTAATCTTAAATGAAGTCCATGTTTGGGAACTTTGACTTAAACCATTGTTGGAAACAAGGGCCCTAGGAAAACTTGTAACATACATGTGTACAAACATACATATATATAAAGTTGTAAGATTAAAAAATATATATTTACATACACATATTTTTGCACATATATACATCCATATGTAAACATGCATATCTGTTTTTATCTTTCTTTTTAATGTAATTCATTAGTAGGAAACATCACATGGCATTAATACCAATCCTTGCTTATTTGGGAATTATAAATCAAAACTGATATACATGTGCTGTTAAACAGAAGAACAGAAGCACAGTTGTCCTGGGATAAATTTAACATTAAAATGTATATCAATGTGTTAGATTCTAAGTAATTTTTGCTTGTTTGTAACAACATTTCTTGAATGAAGAAGCCTTAAAGAAATGAATGGAAAAGAGAGGACTTTGGGTTTTGATCCATTGTGGAATTTTACAAAGAACTGTCTTTCCACTAAACATCCAGCCTATACTTCATCATTTATGATCAAAGAGCACTGGTCACAGAGTGGGGTAAGACACAACAGGCAGACTAACAAAATGTAATTGTTTTCTCATGCAAAAAGTGTTGACCGATGCAAACACTACATTTAAACTGTTGGATATTTGCCTGTTAAGCATTTTCATGACAAAAATTTAAAGCACAATCAGAGAATTAAAATGTACAATATTAAAACTGATTGTGATGTTAATGCAAAGACAGTCATTCTGTGTTAAGTGACTGGATCCTCCTATTTAGCAGATTTGTTTGCATAAATAATGCAGCATCAGGCAGAATTTTTTAAAATGTAAATAAGTAAACTTCCTTGCAAGAGTTAATACAATAGTGAAGAGATTCAGTCACCAGATTCATGAGAACCATAAAAGATGAATCCTTTATCACCGTCCACAGGACTGAATCCAGCCCAGAAGCTGCAGGAGCCTTTGCTGCTGTGATTCTGTTTTAGCTCATCACTTCTTTCACAGAATAGATATTTCATTTCTGTCTCCAAGACAAAATATTCTGCCTGAAAACCAATATAATATATCCAATGTGACAACAGGCATTCATATCCTGGAAGCACAACACAGCCCAGAGGAAGCAGTCTAGGAGGTTTCTGGAGAAAGTGGAAGATAGCTTCCTGACGCAGCTGATTAGTGAACCTACCAGGGGTGGTGCCCTGCTAGACCTTCTCTTCACAAACAGAGAAGGACTGGTGGAGGATGTGATTGTCGGGAACAGTCTTGGGCAGAGTGACCACGAAATGGTGGAGTTCTCTATTCTTGGCGGGGCCAGGAAGGGAACCAGTAAAACCACTGTATTGGACTTTCGGAGGGCTGACTTTGGGCTGCTCAGGACACTGGTTGGTGGAGTCCCATGGGAGGCGGTTCTGAAGGGCAGAGGGGTTCAGGAAGGCTGGGTGCTATTCAAGAGGCAAATCCTAATGGCACAGGAGCGGTCTATCCCCATGTGCCCAAAGATGAGCCAGCGGGGAAGACGACCAGCCTGGCTCAACAGAGAATTGTGGCTTGAGCTTAGGAGGAAAAAGAGGGTTTATAATCTTTGGAAAATTGGGCAGGCCACTAGGGAGGACTATAAGGATGTAGC